CCCTTCTTCTTGAAGCACTACTTTAATTCATACCCAATAGCAAGAACAAGACAACAATTTATTAATCTCTATTATTCTTTCTTCTTTTTTTCCATATTTTTCTCTTTTTTTTTTCTTTGTAGTTTTCGCTACTGTAAAGGTGCACTTTACAGTACAAGTGCACCTTTCTTCCTTTCATTGGTTCCACATTCACACTTAGTCCCTTCTTACTTCTTTTAATGCTCATTTCACAATTAACATGCTTTAAGAGGTAAAAGGATTAAAAATATCAATTAAGAACAAAAAGGGTATAGGCTTGTAATGTGGGTGTAACTAAAAGTTTATAGGCTCAGAAGGGTTAGCTAGGGAAATTTTTTATTTGTGATAGCGATAACGCTCGAAAAGACATCAAAGAAAGCCTAAAATCATTTTTCACACCGAGCTTCACCTAAAATTTCGCTTCAACTCACATACCGGGCAAGTTCTAGACAGAAGTACAATACATGAACTACACAAAATCTCACCACACGTGGCACATGATTCACTGAGGACGGTCTCATTCCGATTCTCAAACTAATGCTAGTATTCACAGAGCCACAAGATATTAAGCATTAAGCACAAGGTGAACATAAGTCAAGAAAATGAGACGTAGGCCTCACAAAACATGCTATCCAAATAACCAAGGCATCATAAGCACTTTTAGCTCATAGGGAAGATACTACACATGCCAAAACCTAAATATGTTACTATCAAACAAGTCAAGGGCGCCTAGGAATCTCATCTTTCTTCCTCCATTTATTTCCTAATTCTATTCTACTCTAAAAATAACAAAAAAATAAAAAAAAATAAAAGGAAAAAATACTACCCGCTTCAAGCAAAACCCTTGGAAAAGAACCGCAGCACAAAGAAAAACCAAGGGGGAATTACTACACTACCTACCAAGAAAATCTTTTTTTTAGACTTAAATCCCTCAAGAAAATTGTCTAATAGATTCATCGTCGGGCAAAATCCAATCATTTTTAATAAAAAAACATTATTCAATTAAACTAACACAGCTAAAGTAGCATAGAAAGTCACCCAGACAATCTCCTCAGCCCACACTTAAAATTGTGCATTGTCCCCAATGCACACCATTCTAATAAGAGGGTAAAAGAAACTCCCTGGTAGGCCAAAGGCCGAAGCACTAGCAGCTCATGGGGTACTCAGACTTCTCCCAGGCTTGGTAATTCGTGCGGGTACCTCAGATTTAGTTCTAACCATCTGGTTTGCTGTTGCATCCTTCTAATAGCTTTGCTTTCCATGTTCCTAGAAAATAAAAAACGACACTATAAAAATAATACAATTAAAAAGAATAAAAAAAATAAAGAAATAAGTAAAAGAAAGCATTAAAGCTGGGTTGCATCCCAACAAGCGCTTGATTTGACGTCACGGCACGACGCGAATCATTTTCTGCCTCCACTTTGAACTTATGAATTGGACCCCAAGTTTTGATTCTACACTATGATCATGCTCCTGGGGTGGTGGGACGAATCTGACTGGCCAAATAAAACAATGTGGTATTCTGCACTTCTTGGCCTTTAGATGAGATGTGTAATCCCGACTTTCTAGAAAGAAGAATTCCAGAATGTAGGCATCTTGTTCCTTATCCCTTGACTCCTCATTCGTGCGGGTACCTCAGACTTAGTTCCAACCATCTGATTTGCTGTTGCATCCTTCCAATAGCTTTGCTTTCCATGCTCATAGAAAATAAAAAATCGACACTATAAAAATAATACAATTAAAAAAAATAAAAAAAAGAAATAAATAAAAGAAAGCAGAAAAGTTGGGTTGCCTCCCAACAAGCGCTTGATTTAATGTCACGGCACGACGTGAATCATTTTCTGCCTCCACTTTGAACTTATGAATTAGACCACAAGTTTTGATTCTACTCTATGATCATGCTCCCAGGGCGGTGGGACGAATCTCACTGGCCAAATAAAACAATGTAGTATTCTGCATTTCTTGGCCTTTAGATGAGACGTGTAATCCCGACTTTCTGGCAAGAAGAATTCCAGAATGTAGGCATTTTGTTACGTCTTGACTCCTCAAGTGGCTCGGACGACTTTATTTCCATATCATCATCACAATGTGAAAAAAAGCTTGAAGTGTGGACCAATGCGCTCAATTACATAAACATCCTCAACACTAATGACACTAAAGTCAAATAAATACGTATCATCAATGTCCTTGGTTGACTCTAATATCTCTTCTACAACATCGACATCCTCAAAATCTAGTTCGATTGATTGTTGGTGTTCTACTCTGGCCTTCTCCAGTAGCACCTCCTCGTATTTTTTTAAATCCTCCATTATAATGGCAATTTCTGCAGCCAATTCATGCTCTTCTTGGCTACTATCCACAATGTAAGCTTGTTGCGCTACAAGGTTCAATTAGTTTATTCGCTTGAGCCTCCAAGTGGAGAATAGTTGCCTCTAGCCTTTGTATCCGCCGTGGTTTCTCATCATATTGTTCCACATGGCACTTAAACATATCTTTGATCTCCTTTAGGTCATCGTCCCTGGGTTCCTTGTTCCCATTAACTTCACAAGAAAAAGAAGAACCATCAAAGTAAGGGGTTAGGGAAGATAAGAAATATAAGCACAACCATGAAAGTGACCATCTTGACCACCACACCTATCACACACATTCCACACATAAGATTGAGTTGGTGCACATAACTCGCTCTCGGGAATATTTTGATAATTTTGCCATGGGTGGTTTCCTACACAATATGCATAAGGAGGATGCATAAGGAGGATCAAAAGTAGAATTACCAACATTAAAACTCTCATAATTCCAAGATGCCATGTCTCTCAACTCAAAGATAAAATTAAAAAAAACAATCAAATACAAGAAAACAAAAATAAAAGTTCAAACTTGCAACCTAGAAATATGTACACCTACACCTACACCGTTAGTTCCCGGCAACGGCGCCAAAATTTGATCACGCCCAGCTATGCCTTATAAAAAGGACTAAGTGGTCGTCGCAAATATGATCCAGTTTACAAGTCCGGAGTCGAATGCCACAGAGAACTAAGGTTTAACTACAGTTGTTGGCTATCACTAAGATGATAAGCTCGAACAATTCCTAAGTTATAAATATTAAGATTCTTATATCTAAATAAGTAAATAAGTAAAGTAGACTAAAGATACTACGGGTTGGAGAAAAGATTAAGGAGGTCTAGAGTTATGATTTTCCAATTGTCGGAATTCTTTCCGCTACGTCTTCTATAATTTCGCCTAAGTATTCTCTGCCGATCATGAGCACTCTGAGTGTTGTATTCTCTCCCGAGTAACTACCATAATTTACTAGATATATTTTCTCGTATTATGCTAGCTGGCATTAAGTACGGCTCACTCGGATCGCACCATGGTTTCGTTATCCCTAATCCCACCTTTAAACCCTCCGTATTGATCCCTCATATATGTTAGGAGTGATGTTGTTCAACAACTACCTAAATATGCACTTCCTCCCGAGTAATACACACTAAATAGGCACAGTCGATTGAGAGCTCTTCAACCAACCATAATATAAACGTAGTTGAACAAATAGAGAAAAAGCTACGGTGAATCTATATTAACGTAACAGGAAAATCATCCTTCAAGAGGTTCCATCAAAATCCTACATAACAAATTAGCTATTCATAATAGTATGCATAACTACAATACTAGAATTCATACCCAATAATGAAAAAAAGGAAGAAGGAAGTGAAAAATTCGTAGAAGAATTCTCCGCCTTGTTCCTAGTGTGTTCTTGCCTCCTTAGGTCAAATCCCCGGTCTGATGTCGGTCTCTTATCGGTCTAAATTAGGTCTGTCTCCTCTCAAAGTGGCATTTTTAGGTCTATTTATATGTGTAGGAAAAGACATAAACGTGTAGGTCAAGTCCTAGTCAAACCAGGAGACGAAATAAATCTTCAAAACTCGGAATGGATCTCGCCCCAGGCCTGGCGTCGCCAGGCATAACGCCTGGTGGAGCTGGCCTTTGCCTGGCCTCCCCAGGTCTAACGCCTGGTTAAGCTGGCCTTTGCTTGGCCACGCTAGGCTAACGCCTGCTTAAGGCCTAACGTCGCAAGCTTTCTCCTTTTCACTGTTCTCGAGCACACTTTCAACGTTTAAGTTGTTGGGCACATGCCCATGTTGTCCAGCCAAAGGCCCAATGGCCTAATCCTATTCTCTTTTGGTTTCCAATCCTATTTGGAATTAGATTTGGTTTATTCCTATTTTGAGTGAGTTTTGGCTTTAAGAGAAAGCACCACTCATGATCTATAAATAGGACAACCTTGGAGAATTATTCTATGCTCATTGATACAAGTCTTTGAAAGACTTTAGCACATAAGAGTGGTTTAGAGAGAGCTTTCATCAAGAGAGAAGAGAGAATAAAAGTATTTGTTTTGCTGCAGATTTTTATTCCGACCAGCCAACATTCAAATCACGTTTCCGATTCGTTAACCGTTGGATCAGGTTGAAATTTTGATTGAGTGTTCGTAACATCTTGGTCTTGGATTTGAACGGTGAAGATCGGATTTGGAGGCTCGTAGCATTCTATTTCGAGCCTCGAACAGCAGCTTCGTTTTGTGGATTATACTCTTTCTTCAATTGATTAGTTGTTGCTCTTGTTGCTCCGTGTTTGGCCCTTGTTGTGTAGACAATTTGGAGAACTTTTGTAACCCTCTTATTGTTATAGTGGAGTTTTTTGGATCTTTGTGATCCCGTGGTTTTTACCTTCGATTTGAAGGGTTTTCCACGTTAAAATTTGGTGTTCTTTATCTTCTTTATTTTCGGGTTTGCCTCTTTCTCGACATAACATAAGTATCCCTTTTACTCTACTTTCATCTTCAATTCACCTACACATAAAATAGACTCCATTACACGCAAATAAAGTGGACATGGCAAATAATGTACGGAACTATGAAATTATAGTCGCACATCAATAACCAAATGAAAATTCTGGTCGACGTCTTTATTATATTTGTTGAGTAAAGTTATCCTTTTTCTCCCTCCCTCCTATATGTTTTCTGATCCAGCTTGTTCTCTCTCTCTCACACACACATCCTCCCCCTTCTCTGAGAAGGGTTGAGGGGCTAGAGAAAGGAGCTCTGTGCATCCGGTGTTGTTAAAGGCTGACTTAATCCCTGAAGCTCGGTGAGGCCCAGGTTGTGCGCTTCGCGTCAGTTAATTGGCACTTTAGTGTAGGCGTCAAGGTGCTTAGCCAGGTGCATCTTCACCAATGGATCTATCTTTAGGGTACAACATCGTATATCAAGCTTAGCTTTAGTTTTTCCATTCATTTGTCTAAATAATTATTGTTTGTGTTGTAGTTATATTTTCTTGCATTGCATTTCTACTTTTTATTTTTTCTTCATGAATGCTCTTCTTTGCTAAAGCCCACACATCAATTGCGCTTTGCGCTTAAAGCTCCAACAAACTTAGCTCATTTTTGCGCTTTTCACTTTTGACTACCCTGCGCGCATCTTAAGTCAAGCTTTAATACAGGCTACTTTTCACCAATTTACTTATCCTTTGTATTTATGTTGCCTTTTCTAGTTGATAATGGAACGTGAAGGGATTCTCAAGAACTCGAAATCTATCATGCCTGCTGCCTTTGTATCGTTTAATTCAAGATGCGGGGCAGCTGTTTGTGCACAAACACAGCAAAGCAAGAACCCCACATTGTGGCTGACTAATTGGGCCCCTGAACCACGAGATGTATATTGGAACAATCTGTCTATATCTTTTTTTTCTCTCAGCCTCCGCAAGCTTTTGATTTCCGTGGCAGTGTTTGCTTTGGTATTCTTTTACATGATACCTATTACCTTTGTGCAATCGTTGGGTAATCTGGAAGGTTTAGAAAAGGTTGCACCTTTTTTGAGACCACTAATTGAATGGTAAGAACATTTTCTCTGCTTTCAAAGAAGAATGCATATATTGTCTTTCCTTTGGAATGCAGTAGTATTGCAGTAATTTGTTTCATTCTTGCCGTATGCAAAAAGTTGATTTAATGAGGAAATATCAGTGTGCAGTGTAACATCCTGGATTGGCTGGTGATTAAGTTAGCAACCATACTTGTCATGAACACATTACATTCACTAATATCACTTTTCAAAATATTTAGCATTTCGCTGGACCTTTTCCAAAATGGATTATCTTCCTTTTTCAGGTTGTCATCGTGCATATCTTTCTCTTTAGTTCATCTGCAGGCACTAAGCAACAGTAAAACCATAGTATTCTTTACACATTATAGTTTTTCGCTAGTGCTTATAGTCAATCAGCTGGTTTGATCTCCCTAAGAAATTGCATCTAAGATGATCTTGGTGTCTGACTGCTGCTTCTTTTGATCTTAGCAGATAGATTTCAGATTTCGAAGACACAGTAGGCTTGATGAATATATAAGCAACTCTTTTGAGACTAAATTGCAATTTAATAGATTATGTTTGTTGTGTATGAATGCCTACTAGTTTATGTAGTATGTCAGAAAAGAAAAAGGACACAGTTATTATATAGAGGTTCCCCTTCAAAAGCTTCTTTTTTTATCCAAATGTGCTTGTTATATATTTCACCGACTCCTGACTAAGTTCGTTTCTTCTGTTTTTATTTTCTAGAAGTATTTTAATTCTTCATATCTGCATTTATTGTATTATTACAAAGAGTTACTTGTGAAGCAAAATTTCTGGAAATGGTTGCAGGAAGATTATCAAGTCGTTTCTACAGGGTTTTCTTCCTGGTTTAGCTCTTAAAGTCTTCTTGCTTGTTCTTCCTGCCATTCTGATGTTTATGTCAAAGATTGAGGGACATGTGGCGTTATCAGTGCTCGAGAGGAGAACAGCAGCAAAATACTATTATTTTATGCTAGTCAATGTATTCCTGGGGAGCATAGTAGCAGGGACAGCTTTCCAGCAACTTCATGCTTTCCTATTTCCTTCACCAATCAGCTACTCAGTACACACTCTCTCTCTCTCTCTCTCTCTCTCTGCTTATTCTCATAGTTCACAAAATCATGATGACTGCACTATGTTCATTAGCTTTTGACACATGATAGATTAGATTGGTCTCTCAGTGAAAGATGTATGCCAGTGGGTGGGACACAGTAGCTTTTGGTACTCTTTGTGGTTAAATATGCGGTGTTCAAGGAGCTGAAAGTAATTTAAATTTCTCCATTAGATTGTAGTTTTAGTGAGCAGTAAGTGTGAGTTCGACTAACTTTTCACGCTTATAGATGAGAAATGCTCTACCATCCTAATCTTCAATGTACTGTATACGCTCATTTGATAAGTTGTAAGCATTTCATTTTTAATTTGAAAACCAAAGTAAAATGGTAATGATTTCGGAATATGTTGTTGTAGTGTTGTGTTGGGCCCGTGTGAAGTACGGGCAACCAGTATCTAGTCTAATATATATAAATGGCCAAGTTGTACGAACACAACTCTTTCAAGTTGTATGGAAGGCACTATGGTACTGTAAATTTGGCTATATTTCATTGGTAAGTGTTTACTTTTCTCTTTATTGTGACACGTGCGCTTACACTTTTCTTCACCTTCTCCACTCTACTTTCTCCTTCCACAGTTTCATACCCATTTGTTCATTTCTTTCTTCTTCAGTCTATTTTTTCATTTCTATCCTCTTTATCTGTATTTTCAATTTCAATTCTTTCTCCTTTTCCTTGCATTCATGCTAATTGCTTTAAGTTTTTCTTTTCGTCATTTACAATTAGAGGTTGGAAATGGCAAATTCTGCTAATTCTTATTCTCTATGCATGTAGATTATGCTCCTGAGGATCAATTCACGTGTAAGGAGGCTTGACTTATGTGACAGAATGTTCGAGTTCCGGAGGTAGAATATCAAGCAGATCAAACCAGTAGAAAGGGTTGATTTCAGATTCTTCAATTTCTAAGCCGCCCTTCAGGTACATTGCACATTCTTTTCACACCCTTTGAACTTTAGATCCCTTTATTGAAAAAATAATTTCAGTGTTATGCTTTTGTTTAATTTATTGAGCAGTTGGTCGTGGGTTAAAACTACAGCTTTAACAATGGGATACAAACCCTGAAAATAGTTCACCTCTATATTCAATTTTTTTAATTGACTTATGTTTCTTCTAATTTTGCTTTTGTATCGACATGGTGCCCACTGAGGTGTTAATTTAAGTTCTTTTTTATGGCATTCCATGTAGAAGTGTGGGTGTCTTAACTTTTCTCGTTGCCGGCAATATATACTGAACTAGGATGCCCCAATTTGACGTAGGCATAATATAAAGTTATCTGATACAGATTAATTGCTTTTGATTCTGCATTTATGGGCCGCATCTGAATTTACCTAAGCATTAAGTACACATTTGGCTTTAGGTTATTTTGGAAGTATATTTTTGGGCCAACTGAAGTTTACGAATATGTACTGCCTTTGCAATAAAATAGAAATTTCATTGCATTTTGATTTAATTGCTTGCATACATTATTAAACTCTGAAGTAAACTGCATTGGACAGGAGAACCCATGAAGATATGCACTTGTTCAATATAATATTGAATCAAGAAATCAGATGGTTGTCAACACAGGTACCTCCAGTTTCATGGTTGCAGACAGAATCACGAACAACATCAAGGAAAATATAAAAGGTAAGTTCTCTTAACTTTCAAAGTATTTTTTATTTTCTCTGTTGATGTGGATGTAGTGTAATGCATGTTTTGTGGGGTCTTCTCTCTTGCAGAGATTGTTAATTTCTCTATCTGTATTCGATGTAGCCTCTATGTTTCTAGAGTTATTTGTGCAATCATTCTTCTAAGTGTTGCTTTGAGGTGATAACTTCTTAGAAAATATTTTTCAACAAGCATTTTTGATAATTTTCTTCAGAAAAGATTCCAACAAAATATTCAAATTGTTGGATTGAGGTAGGAAGATTAGTGATCAAAGAGGAAATCAAAGAGAGAATTTTTTTTTTTATATTTGTGAAAGATAGTTTTCATTCACTTTTCTTAATTTCACTTGATTTGGTCTGATAATGTCAATGGCTAGAATACATGGGGTATTTATAGTAAAACTCATATATGCATCTAGTCTACTTCTTATGTGGACATACTAATTATGTTCACATAAGTTCACACATTACATAGATAAGTTCACACCCTAGTACATGTATGTAGCTACTAACTAGTTCATGAACTAACGTGAACAAGTCTAGACAAATGTGAACTAATGTGGACAAATGGGGACAAGACAATACATTAATTTTAACACTTCCCCTTAATGTTTTGTTCTTGGACTCCCAAAGGCTCACGAAATTTGATGAACTTCTCCTTGGGTAGCGCCTTGGTAAAAATGTCCGCAACTTGATCCTCGGACTTGCAAAATTTTGGCTTGATCACTCCTTCTTCAACTTTTTCTCTGATGAAGTGATACTTCACTGCTATGTGCCTTGTTCTGCTGCTGTAAATTGGATTCTTTACCATTGCTATGGTTGACTTGTTGTCACAAAACAACTTTGTTGCGTTGTCTTACTTTTCTCCAACATCTTCTAAAATTCTTCTAAGCCAGACTGCTTGAGAAGTTGCAATTGCTGCTGAAATATATTCAGTCTTCTGCTAATGATTGTGCTACTGTTTCTTGCTTCTTTGATTGCCAAGAAAATGCTCCCGATCCAAGTGAAAACACAAAACCAGATGTACTTTTCATATCATCTTTTGAACCTGCCCAATCACTGTCAGAAAATCCAATTAAAGTTAATTCTTCACCCTTGAAATATTTGATGCCATAAGCCAAGGTTCCTTTGATGTAACGAAGAACTCGTTTGGCTGCTCCAAGGTAAATATGACTGAGACTTTGCATAAACCTTTACAACAAACTAGTAGCAAACATTATATCGGGCCTCGTAGCCGTTAGATACATCAAACTACCAATGATACTTCTGTAAAGAGTGCTGTCTACTTTTCTTCCACCATCATTTTTCATCAGCTTCTCATTTGAAGCGAGTGGTGTTGGTACTGCTTTGCACCCAAACATATTAAACTTTCTAAGCATTGCTTCAGCATAGCTTTGCTGAGAAACAAATACTCCATCATCCTCTTGAGTAATTTCAAGACCAAGAAAATGATGCAATAGACCCAAATCACTCATTTCATATCTTTTCATCTTGTCTTTTTTGAACACAGTAACTGCAGCCTCATTGTTACCGATAAAAATCAGATCATCAACATAAATCGCAACAATAAGAATAGAGTTACCTTGCTTCTTGACATAGAGAGTAGGCTCGCTTTTGCTTTTAATGAACCCACTTTGCAAGAAGTACTTATCAATTTGACTGTACCATTGCCGGGGTGCTTGTTTCAACCCGTACAAGGCCTTCTTGAGCTTGTATACTTTATCTTCTTCTCCTTTAATCACAAAGCCATCAGGTTGATGAACATAAATTTCTTCTTCAAGTTCACCATTCAAAAAAGCTGATTTCACATCAACTTGATATAATAACCATCCCATTTGTGCTACTAATGCAATAAGTGTCCGAAGTGTATCTTTGCGGGACACCGGTGCAAAAGTTTCATGATAATCAACATCAGCCTGTTGTGAATACCCTTTTGCAACCAATCAACATCAGCTTGTTGTGATAATCAACATAAGCTTTGTGCTTCATGATGGAGCCATCTGGATTATTTTTTATCTTGTAAATCCATTTTACTCCAACAATTTTTCGATTTGCTGGCTTGTTTACCAACTCCCAAGTCTGATTTTTCTCAATCATATATATCTCTTCTGCCATAGCCTTCTTCCAAACTTCCTCCTTAACTGCTTCTTCAAAACTTGGTGGCTCAACCATGCTATAGTTGCATGAAGAATAAATGTCAGCAAGGTCTCTCATTTTAAGCGGAGTACTTGTTAGACTCGAAGTGCTAGAGCTTGCTTTGTTGCTTGAAGGTGAGAAAGGATCAGCTTGTGGAACTTCTTCCTCCTTATTTTCTTCTTCATTCTCAGCCACCACTATGTTTTTTGTAGTCTCATTCTTTTCCCAATTCCAACTGGCTCCTTCATCAAACAACACATCTCTGCTTGTGATGACATTTTTCCTCTTCAAGCTATACATTCTATAGCCCTTTGATTTTGAGCTATAGCCAACAAAAATGCACTTCTCACTTGTTTCATCAAGCTTACTCCTATTTTCTTTCGGGATTTGAGCATAGCAAATGCACCCAAAAACTTTCAAGTGCTTCACTGAAGGTTTCCTCTTGCTCCAAGCTTTCAAGGGGGTCTTATTTTGCAATGCCTTGTTCGGACACCTGTTTATTAAGTATACCGCCGTATACACTGCTTCAGCCCAAAAAATATTTGGCATTCCTTTCTCTTTCAACATAGTTTTTGCCATTTCAACAACCGTTTGATTCTTTCTTTCGGATACACCATTTTGTTGTGGTGTGTACCCAACGGTTAGTTGCCTTTCAATGCCTTCATCCTCACGAAATTTCTCAAATTATTTTGAGGTATATTCTTTACCCCGATCACTTCTTAGCACCTTTATATATTTTTCACTTTGTTTTTCCACAAGGCTCTTGAATTTTTTAAAAATGCCATACACCTCGAATTTTTGTTTCATAAAATAAACCCAAGTCATTCGTGTATAGTCATCAATGAACAAGATAAAATACTTGTTACCTCCAAGATATGTGGTACTCATTGGACCACACACGTCGGTATGGACCAGCTCCAAAGCTTTGTTTGCTCTCCGAGCTCCGCCTTGAGGGAATGAGTTTCTATGGTGTTTTGATCTAAATCTGGAACCAAAAGTACATTATGGATGAACTTTGTACCTTCCTTTGCTTGGACACGGATTGAGCCCTTTCTAATTGCTCGAACAACGGCACCATTTCCCATTTTCACTTCGGTCTTCACTTTGTCATCCACACTTGTAACAATACTTTTGTTTCCGGACATATGATTGCTGCACCCGCTATCCAATAACCAAATATTGTGATTTTTCTCTTTGGCCATTTGACAGCTTGCAAAGAACCGGCCTTGCTCTCCTTTTTCTTCAGAGACTTTTGCTTGTTGTTGATTCTTGAATCTACAATCCTTCTCCACATGACCAAACTTTTTGCAGTGGTTGCATTGTGACTTTCCTTGAAACCAACAATCCTTGTTAACGTGGTTGCATCTTTTGCAAATTCCACATTTTTGTTTGGAGTTGTTGGAGTTGTTTCCTCGTTGATTTCTTCCTCCTCCACGGCCTGATTTGCCTCCTTTTGATGATTCTCCTTGTGATTTTGTGGACACATTGAGCTTAGATTGTAAAGCACTCTCAATCGATTTTCCGGAGTGTCTTAACAACCTTTGCTCGTGTGCTTGTAGTGATGCCATCAACTCACGGATGTGCAACTTTGTGATGTCCTTAGTCTCCTCAATAATAGAGACTATGGGATCATATTTTTCAGTCAAACTTATCACGATCTTTTCCACAATTTTCTTATCTTCAGCGGCCATTTGATTTGCTATTTCAACAACTTTGGAGCAATATTCTTTTAAACTTTCTCCATCTTTCATCTTCAAGTTTTCAAACTCACATCTTAGAGTTTGAAGCTTGATGTTTCGTACACGTGTATCTCCTTGAAATTCCTCACGTAGAGCCTCCCAAGCCTCATTTGATGTTGTGGCTCTCATGATTCTTGGAAAAGTGAATTCACTCATTGCTTTGTTGAATATAAGCAAGAGCTTTTGCATCTCTCCTTTTTGTTTCCTTTAGTGTTCTTGTTTCTGCATCTGTGAGTTCTGTTCCTTCTTCTGGTTCATTATAACCATTTTGAACAAGTTCCCACAGATCTTGTGCTTGAAAAACTGTTTTAGCTTTCAAGTACTAAAAATCATAATTTTCTCGATTGAACATAGGAATGGATAGTTGAGCCACTCTTGTCCATTAGTTAAAGCCACTGTTTAGCTTTTCTTAACGCCCAATTTTTTAATCGAAGGCGCTCTGATACCAATCTGTTGGATTGAGGTAGGAAAATTAGTGATCAAAGAGGAAATCAAAGAGAGAATTTTTTTTATATTTGTGAAGGATAGTTTTCATTCACTTTTCTTAATTTCACTTGATTTGCTTTGATAATGCCAATGGCTAGAATACATGGGGTATTTATAGTAAAACTCCTACATGCATCTAGTCTACTTCTTATGTGGACATACTAATTATGTTCTTCACACATTACATAAATAAGTTCACACCCTAATACATGTATGTAGCTCTAATCTAGTACATGAACTAATGTGAACAAGTCTAGATAAATGTGGACATATGTGAACTAATGTGGACAAATGGGGACAAGACAATACATTAATTTTAACACAAAAACTATTAAGGTTTTCCATTTAATTGTTCCAGCGACACGAAATAAGAATGTTGTTTCAACCCTGCAGGAGCATTTTTGCAAACTTTATCACCTATTATATCTTCTTAGTTCATTTGGATGATAAAGGATTAATTCAAGGTCAAAAGATTTCTGCATTATTAACCATAGATATCAAACTACTACCTTTATATCTACCGGTAGTGTTGCATATCAACAAAAGAAAACAATCTTGATTTTCTCCATATGGAAGAGCATATTAGGAGATGAAGCTTTATTAGAATCAAATCAATCACCCGTGTTCACCATTATTTAATAATAACATTGTATTTTTATCTTCAAATATTTTAAAAACAAGGAAAATCTTGAAAAGCTTCATGGCACATTAAACAAAAAGGTGATATTTCTTGTTTCCAAATACCAAATTTCAAACATTGAAAGGTGTAGAGTCAAGCCAGTCTAAGGATTCAGAGCTTTGTAATGGTTGCAATTTATGATTAAATGTGTAAATTATTGAAATAATTTTATTTGTATAAACTAGATATTTTTATGTTGACAAAGCTATGATGATTGTTTCCCTCTATTGGTAATTTGTCTTTCTTCTTACCCTTTCCGTATATTTTAAAGTTGCTCCCAATATAAGACGTGTGATTGTAATTATTTTTTTGTGTTCTCTTGCGAAAGGTTTTTTTTTGGGAGATAAAGCATGGAAAGTGACCATTCCATATATTAGTCCCACGATTCTTGCCATTACTTTTACCTTTCCCTTCAATATGCAAGGTTATGTCTTGATTTCTTTTCCTTGAGAATTTTGTGACCTTTAGTTTTTTATTATTCACTATCAATCCGAGTCTATTCAAGTTGGTTGTCCCAGAGTTTAGCTCTTAAAGTGGATATCTTAAACATGTTGGTTTGTGTTAAACTTCTTCGTTCATGAGCACTCTTGATTTTTAATGTCAAGAGGAGAATTTTATGTTGATAATTACTTGACTTTGCATTGAAGTTTATAACAGTTTGGTTTGTTTTCATATAATGAAACAAAGAGTTCGGAAAAAGGAAGAATTGTGGCTACAAATATAGATAATCGAATAATTCAAAAACATATTATACTATACAATAAAAATATGCCAGCCAAAAAATTGCATATTACCGTATCAAGTACGTAGAAGAATTTTATAGTATGAGGAACATAATGAGTTAGTATCATTCTGTCCAAACCCTTTCTTGGAAGGCCAGGAAATGATTCAACTGTTACATTTATTTATTTCTTCTTTTAGTTTATACTATGCTTCAAATCCAAGATGTTTAAGAATAGCGGCATTGAGTTTCTGCACTCTTTAACATAAGATTAGTCAGTTCTATTTCTCGATGGGGGCAGAGAAACAACTTAAAGAAAGGAAATATATAGCTAAAAAGATCTATGCCATAAAAAAGTTTGCTTGTTCTTTATGCAAGACCTTTAGGGTGATGCTTTATTTTTACTTGGTCTTTTATTACACTTGATGAAGATACTTAATTATACTTCTCTCACCATGCACTTCGGGCAAAGATATAAGCTCATCATATATCACATTTGAGAATCTCAGGTAAAGGATATTGTTTTATGGCATTAATCAAAAAATCTTTCGGTTAATCTCTAAGACTGTCTTCTTTTAAGTTTAATAATCAGGTATTTGTTGATCTTATTTTATTTTTTTACAGAAAATATGATACCCATGAAGCTGCGAAATCCCCCTTAATGTAGCTGATAAGAAGGTACCGCAGAAATGCTACCTAGCGATATTGAAAACTAAAGTGGTAGTATAACACTATTGCCGACTCCCTAATCTTCAAGAACGAAGGTACTGACAATGACTTCAATGGATTCTCAAGATTATTATTAGCAAGAATTTCCATTCCAAAAACTTTTCATTTTTGTTTTCCCATTGAGGATGACAAAATTTTGCTATGTATTATTGATAAACATTTTTATATTCTTTCTAATAATATTGATTTTTGTTTAATACTAAAGTAGCGCAAGTCCTACGTCCTTTCCCTTTCTGCTAATCTTTTTTTTCTCCTACAAAATCAGTTGAAGATGTCATTTGATCCACATGGAATGGTACTTAATCTTCATATTTTGTGTTATTTTCTCATTATGTTGACATGTTGGGTCTTATTAAGAACAAAAAATTTCACACTCCATGAAGCATACCTATGGTTAAGCACTGAGGATTGAAGTTGCCTTGTTGACATTTTAGGTTGAGATTAGTTAGTTGGTGAACCTTGGTGTGAGCCCTTCTTTATGATTTCAGGAACATTAAATGGTGACGTGTGGGCCTTGGGAATCAAATATGTACAAGGAGTTCAATGACCATCCAAACTTGCAGCTGTAGTTGGCATTTGTGTCAGCCTTGGTCTTTTTGGCCTGTATCTGTTTCTTCCCATCCCATTGGTCAATCTTGTGGCATTTCTTCAAACTAAGATGAAGCGAGGATATTTAAACCTGAAATTTTTTTAATGGCTCCCCTTGGCATGCAGGTGATTCCAAAGATTGTGGTATCAGTAGAATTTGAATGATAGGTTGTAAAAATAGAATGTTCCTAATAGATCATTCAGCATCTTTTTCTTTAGGTTCTTTTTTGGTTGCAAGTTGTCGCCAGTTGTGCTTGATTTGATTTTTTTTTTTTGATGATTTGGTATTGCACTTCGATTGAAGATGCTTTTGGTTGATATCAACTTCTTTTGTATAAATGACCAGTTTATCCATCTTAGAAAAACAAGCTCAAAATTTTGAATATATTAGATTCCCTGCAATTTTGTGACTGATTTCCCGTGCTACTCACTTTCTAGTTTTTCTCTAAGAGAAAGTCGAATCAAGAGAAAACCCATCAATACAAGTAATCTTATCATCTCTCTTTTCCTTGTTTCTCTGACTATTTTCTAGAAGGAGAAACTGAACTCCTTTTCTCAAAACAATAAAATCAAACACACCCTTTTTGTTTTGGGTGAAGTTTTGTTCTGATAGTAAAGACCCTAATAATGGTGGGACTATTTTCAAGATTTTCTGTCAGCAGAAATGGGCATCGTCGAGCTCAAAGTGCCCTTGTGAGCTTCTCTATCCCTCTCTCTTGCTACTCCTTTCTCTGGTTTTTATTCAGTCAATTCTTGGTAAAGTTGTTAACTTTATGTAAATTGACTTGTTTCTTGATCTGGGTTACTGGGTATCAAGAATTGTTTCTTTATCTCCTTTCTGTATGTTAATTTGATAGTGGTATGAATTGTTTGCTCCTCTTTATTTGAAAAGATATTGACTTTAGATTGACTGATCACACACTCAAAAAAATATTGGTTTTAGATTGTTAACATGTTTTTTTTTCTTTTTAGTTCATTCTTGGCTAATTCTTAAACTTTATGTAAATTGAGTTGTTTTTTGATCTAGGGATCAATAATTACGTCTTTATATCTACATGTTAATTTGATAATGGGATGAATTGTTTGCTCATGTTTACTTGAAAAGATATTGGCTTTAGATCGACTGATTTGGCTTTAGATTATGTGTTAATCTTTAGTTTTGGTGTGGATTTTCATATTTATGCTTTTGGAATTTTTGGAATTTGATTAGGACCTTTTGAGATTTTTGAGATGTGGGATTGACTAGTTCTTGGGTTGTTACTTTCCAAATTGAGTTTGATTTGGACTTTGACTATGAAATTTTATTTTGCTGCTTACATTTTTGTCTAGGATTCGTAATCATTAAAATAAACCATATTGTTTGTATTTTAATTTTCAAAGGGATTTGACTGCTTAAATCAATTGTATCTGATGCTTACTTATTACAGTCCAAACTATATCATCTGGTTTTTATTTGTAGTAATTTCTTTTCAATATGGAAATGCAGGATGAAACAGNGGTTTGGATTGAGGAAATAAAAGATAAGACTCAACAATTGCTGGCTAAAGTAAATAATCGTAGAATATAATATTGCTTAGAACAATTGTGCTTGATAGCGTACAAGAATTGAGAGAGATGGTACCGTAGTGTAATGGTTTCCCATCCCCTCTTTATGGGGTCTTCTCCCCTTTTATACATTCTGACTAAGGGTAAAAATAAGGTAGGTAAATTAATTACATCGTGGATCCCTGTAATTACGCCTTAATGGCCTGAAGTGGTTGAGAAAATCACGTTTGGGCGAGATATCCGGCGACGCTTGGTTATCCGTTACGAGTCCGGCTTCCGACCTTGTGTGTTTCTCCATCCGGTGGTGACTCATATCGAGCTCTGCAACGGTCTCGAAATGACTCGACCTCGATTGTTGACGTGGCCGTCGTTCTACCTTGCATCCAGGTCGGGTTCGATGGCACCGACTTGCCCCGGACCGGACCCAACCCGGTCGGGCTCAAGCAAAAAGGGTATCACCCAATACAGTAACCAAGAATGTGGTCCAGTGGTCAATGAAGTCGAACGAAAATCATGGAGATCAGTATTCAAGTCCAGTAAATGCAAAAAAAGATGGGTGATTTCTTCCATCTGCCTAAACCTTGAGGGGCATTAGTTACTCGGTATATGTACTGGTGAGAGGTAGCAAGTATCCCGTAAAATTATAGTAAGAAGTTAAACACTGAAGGCACGAGCAAAGGTAAATAAGAAATTGGGGGGGTAGGGTGGGGTGGGGTGGAGGGGGGGGGGGGCTCTTTGTTGATTGAAATATACATGCGTGATAGAGACACCGAATATAGTTCCACCAGCTGTTAAGAGCGTATAGTAGATATGGAAATTTAGAAGAGCTAAACGGGCAATTGAACATCAAATGGATGCTTAACTGTGGGACTCAGAAGGTGCTTTCGAGGTCCCCGAAAGCTCCCATGATTCATCCATGACCTCCATTGCCGTCGTTGATGCATTTCGTGGACATGGCTTGTGTCAAGTTTTCCATGACCAACTCCTATATCAGTTGAATAAACTGATGCAGAAGAGCTGCAAATGCAGAGGAGAAGAAGAAGAATGCGGTAAAAAGCTCTAAATTGCTGCACCATTGTGCTGTTGATTATTGTTGATATGTGTTTCTTGGACAGTTTTGGGGTTTCTTATAGAGGAAAAGGTGTTACCGGTTTCTTCATTTAAGAAGTGACAAGAAAGATCACTTTGGATCACACTCTGAATATTGATTGCTTGTGTTAGACCTGTGATTATTGAGTGTTATGTTTTATTGTGGAGGTCATAATCTACTCGTGTTACTGTCATCATTCTGTTTGAGGAGTTCTGTTGCTGAAATGAATGCATTTGGGTTTGAATCATGACCCTTGAGTGGACAATTATCTTTTCTCAGTTTATAAATACTAAATAATGTCAAAGAAACAACTTATTAGTGATAATGGAAAAGGATAAAACCCACTTCTTACCAACCAAGTGGAAGGAAGAATCCCAGCATGGACGAGGAAATTTGGAATCTACCCGGGAAGTACAATCAAACCTTTTATAATAGACTCGTTTGTTTGATATTTTTTTTATTGCTATGGCAAAGTGATGTTATAGATAACATAAATTATAACATAATAAGAAATATTAGTTGAAAAAAAAAAAACTTGACCGTTATAGTAAAATAATATTATAGAAGATAACTCTTAAAGAGAAGTTTGACCGCATATGAAGAGTATGTTGATAAGGGTCAACGAAGTGAGTTAAAATGATGGAAAATCAGGGTTCAACAAAGATATTATGTTAGTTGATTCTTATAGCAGGTATTGTTACTACACTGTATTCAAAACCAGAAAACTAGAAAATCGTTAGTTTAAAAAACAAAATAGAAAAACTTCCGAGCCCACAATTTCCTTGTGTGTCCTTAAGGAATTTAATCCCCTTACAATTGCCCAAGGTTACGGATTAATTCCTCCTAGGATAGAACGAAATAACTATTCTATGATAGCGGCACTTCAAATCACATAACTTCGGCGAACTCAAATGGCAGAGCAAAACGGAGGAAGGAGGAGGGGGTGGGGGTGGGGGCATACAAAAATGCTTACATTTTGCTTTTGAAAACCAATTCAGAATGCATAAGACCGATGGGAGAGATCTCAGATTTTTCGGTGGTGAAAATGAGGCTAAGCCTCTCTATTTATAGCCAAAGAAGTCGAGTCTCAACAGATGCATAGGTGCCTGTTCGTTAATAAGGTGTCTATTCAGCAGGAATTATTTAAATTTCGGTTGAACGGAATGTTTGGTCGCGAACTCGACCGTTGGAAAATGATTCCACAATATTCTTTTTGCGAAAAAATATCAGAAAAGAAAATATTAAATGATGGAAAAGGAAAATAAATTGGTCCAAAATATTACCAATCCGAAGCCGAAGCTGAGCCGAGCGATGACGAAACGGCGCGAGGCACCACTTCTTCTTAACTCTTTAAGAGCTAGAAGATGTGCTTCTCTATATAAGCACAAAGATTTTCTTTCCTTCTTCCAATGAGTGATAAAAGTGCATTTGTAAAGTGAACTAATTCAAAATTTCATTTCCCTCCATTTCTTTTGCCACCATTTTTCATTCACACCTCTTTTGTTATTACTAACAAAGCCCAACAATCCCCCACATGAATGGGGAATGGCTATCTGAAATAAATATGCATGAAAAAACTATGTGATTCGCAAGTAAGGATTAATCGCATCTGGATAAGTAGGTTTCCCTTGGAACTTTCTGTAGTGAACTTATGTCAGATATACTCGGTCAATCGGTAGATTTGATATCTTTGAACCGTCGAACTTTGGTTTATACCTAGACAACCATAAGTCACACAATCAACCTTTAAACCGTCTTTGGTTCTCATTGTTGTGTTCTTTTCAGCCATGAACACCACCTGGTTTATAAGTGCGTAGAGAACTGGCATTACATAATGCTCCTTGAAGCGGCTTACACTTCACACTTACATAGGTGATTCCTAAACGTGTGATCCCGTAGATACAATATATTATATACCTTGTATCATCCTTAGAAACCATTAAAAAGCTCTAACGCTTTATCCTTGGTACTAAACATTGTTGTCATCATGAGAATGGACCAAAATTTTATTTGACAATGTTAAACCGTCACTAATGACTTTGTTTGATCTCCTTGGACCAAGATTTTGGGATCTCCAGTCTTCTAGGTAGAGTTACTGCCATAGTGACTTGTCCTCGGCCATAGTCCCAATTCCCTTTGATGACTTCTCAACTGCCTCTCTAGGTAGGCCTTTTGTAAGCGGATCCGATACATTATCTTGACTTTACATAATCAATTGTGATAATTCCACTAAAAAGTAGTTGTCTTACGGTATTATGGCTTCGTCGAATGTGACGAGATTTTCCGTTATACATAACGCTCCCAGCCCTTCCTATTACTGCTTGACTGTCGCAATGTATGCATACAGGTGCCAAAGGTATAGGCCAAAATGGAATGTCTTCTAAGAAATGCTGGATCCATTCAGCGTCTCCATCGATATTTTCTAAAGCTATAAACTCGGACTCCATTGTAGAGCGAGTGATGCAT